TGATAACTTGTAGGTTAGATGTGAACCAATACTATCACTTGCCAGCTAGCATGTCCTCGACAAGAGACCAGAAGGCTCAGTTTGTTCTTTTAAGCAAAGTGATGTTTGATTGGATAACCATCAAAATGTATCCATAGTGAGGCAATCAATCTCGCAAACATCGGGTTGCGATTAGATAAAATAAAAGTGATCATCTATTTGATGCAGCAACCCATAAAATTCACAAATGATCCACATGACTGATGTATTGTTCTGCATACACGTCCATAAAATCTCAATAGATTTACCAACTCTTATACAAGCGATGATCAATTGTTCTATTCTCCTTGAGAATAAACATGACATAATAACTCTTTTAGTTGAAGAGTTCTTTGACTTCTCATATGATGTTCTCATGAATTCTCAAAGAACTTTTTTTCACATCAAGATCCGGGATGGTCTAACCGGACCAACCAATTATCAAGTTATCAAATCTTGAAAACTTCTGGTTTACACTTTTATGTGTACTGATTGTACTAATATACATGTAGTACATATATTTTATGCAAATATTAGTTTCATTATTTTCTTGATAAGATATTCATTTTACGAATATCCTTTTAATTGGGTAATGCATCATCACTAGGTAGTTTGGTTCCTTCAGGCCACAAAATTAGATCCTTTAAAGCTTTACCATATTTTGTACCAAATTCCTCCCTTCCGGGGACTTATGATTTGATGCATTCTTAGTAAACACAAATTCATAGTGAATATCATCACAAATTGTTATCACGAGTACATAATTTAGTTACTTCAAGTAACCAAACATAAGCTCTTCGGAAGCTTTTTCTTATTTATGTACTCTACCATATAGTTTATATGGAATTTTTCTAATACTCATACTTTATAGAAACATAATAAAAGTAATAAACGAGAATATTTCAAACTTAAGACAAAATTGATGAATTTATCAAGTTAATTGTTCTAGATAAAGGTTATCAAATTAAATTATGCATGAAAAATAACGTCACAATAAAACATAAAAGAAATAAGAATCATAATACTACAATTGTGAAAATTAAATAAGATTTATTTGGAACAATACCATCACTAACTAGGTGATTTTAAATTTATATATGCGTTTCATTATACATTATAATGTACAACAGGTACATTATGTTATCATGACTTTGATAATGCAATTGTGGTGTCATCCTTATTTATAGTTCTCCTTTTACTCAACTTTTCTCACTTCTGGTGAAAAGATCCAAACAATACATTTAACATATATATAATTATGTTTATAGCTCTATTCACTTCGGAGAATAGATTATTTCATTCACTTCTGGAAAATGGAAATTTATCAAGTGATATCATTTTCATCTTTAATGGAGAATATACCAACTTATAATACAAAAAATATGTTCCATAATATTGATATTGCAGGAGCGTATATGAATTAGTTTTTCCCTTTGATTCTTGGTAGAATAAGGTATTTTGCGTACAACGGGTACGAGACAAATGCAATTTTTCATTACAATGGTAACATACAAAACCAATCTTCTTGTTACCATGTCCACTTCTTTCTTTGCCATTGGTGTGCTGATAACGTGTCATGAAATTAATGAAGATATAAACAACTACAAGAGAAGATTAGAGAGGGAAAGACACAAGAGAAGAGAGGGAAAAAGTTCTTCTTATTCATTCTTCACTTTTGATACAATGGTGTGCTATATTTACAGACACACTTTGGTAACCACTACATCCTTATATCAATGCATATGAATGGGAGATAATGATGCAGAAATAGGGGTTACTAGGGGTGGGCATCCGGTTCGGTAAACCCGAACCGAACCGGACCGAACCAAAGTAAAACCGAACCGAAACTGAATTGTTACTGTTCGGATCGGAAATCGGAATCAAAATAGCCACATTTCGGAACCCAGGGTCCTCTCGACCGAACCCGAATTCCGAACATCGAACCAAAAAACCGAATTAATACACGCAGCCCACATATTCCCCTCATACCTCACCCCAACTATCACTGGGCCTCGGCCCATATCTCTCACCAAACTCTTCAGCCCATATCTCTCACCCAACTAATCCTAATAGACTAAAAGAGAGAGGCAGTGGAGAATCGCCCATCTCAGCCCTCTAGCACGCTGCCGATCCAGATCTCGTGGCCGCACCCACTTCGCGCCGCCGCTCCTGATCTCGCCACTCCAGATCCCGCCGACGCCGCTCCTTCGCGCCGCCGCCCACCATCCTCTTCTCCAACACCACCAAACGCTCATCCCCTCCGTCCACCACCCTCCTCCTCGTCACCATCCCCTTTCTTCCTTTCTTCACTTCGAGACCAGAGACAGAGAGATCTCCACCTCTTCAATCGTGCCACCGAACACTACATGCAGACGATGCTACCTGATTCTTTGTCTCCGCTGTCGCTGTCGCCGTGTTGTTCAATCGCTCAGAATCTTCATCAATATCACGGCATCAATCGTCGTTGCTTTTGTCGCCGCCTTGTTCTCTCGATCGGTCGTCATTGTTGTTGAATTAGGAGATGGAGAGAGAGAGAGAGAGAGAGAGAGAGAGAGAGAGAGAGAGAGAGAGAGAGAGAGAGAGAGAGGAGGGGAAGGATAAATCTGGGCGGAGACTTTTTGTGGGGGTGATAAGATGTGAATGAGGGGAAGGATTTGTTGGGGCGGAGATTTTTAGGCGGATAAAGGTGGGTTGGTTTCATAGTTTCGGTTTTGCCCTTGAAACCGGACCGAACCGACTTATATTTCGGTTCGATTTCGGTTTGCCTTGCATCTGGGATCGTAACATCGGTAATCATCTGTTCGGTTCGGTTCAAACCGAACCGACCGAATGCCTACCCCTAGGGGTTACATGTAACTCCCAAGTGAGCATTTAATGTGGTAGGTCATTGATCATCCATATATCAATATTTACATAATACTAGCTTTTGAAACGTTTTGTCGAGCAACACCTTTCCCAGGTGGCGGTTTCTCAACATGGATCTGAGATGAAGTGGCATGGCTCTCGCCCACATTCACCATAGGTGTTGGTACGGTGGTTGCCACCGGTGGTGTAAAGTTCACCGGGCATGGCTGCTCACTCCTACCACCAACTTTTTTACTTTCAAGATTTGGGAAGTCTTGACCATCCAAGGATAAAGCCTTAGTTTGTAAAACTGGTCTGTTCAACAATTGCCTAAACTCACCCAAATCATTCGTATTTTTGTTTACCATCTCAAGTAATTGAGCAAATCGTCTATCAACACGTGAACTAAAACCATCAAGGCACTCATCCAAATAAGCAAGACGAAGGTTACCTGTTGGTAGTTACTGTTCATCCCAACCACCAATTGTTCCACCATTTGGCGGATCGATGGTGATGCTTCACTTGGATATGCCTTAGGCACCGTTGGTGGCACCTTTGCTCCCGCACCGTTGGTACCATCCCAGAGTCGTCCAACTGCTCTCTCTCCCCTCCTCTAGAAAAGTAGATCCGCTTAGCTTCTACGCTAGTCAGTTGTCGCAAAAAAAAAAAAAAAAAAATCTTAATTTCAACATGGATGGTACCATCCAACTAGTACTTTGGATGATATAATATGGGATGGTCACCATCCAATTAGTCTTTTGGATGGTATCCATGTTGTTGGACACCAGCATCCATAATAGGAATTGGATGGTATCATGATGTTGGACACTACCACCCATTATAAGATTTAGATGATATCCATGATGTTGGGCACTACCATCCATTATTGGATTTGGATGATATCCATGATATTGGACACTACCATCCATTATTGGATTTGGATGGTATCCATGATATTGGACACTACCATCCATTATTGGATTTGGATGGTATCCATGATATTGGACACTACCATCCATTATTGGATTTGGATGGTATCCACACCTGAGCTACCATCCACCAACCCTATGGCCAGACTTGATAAATTGGACCATCCATATACACGCGGACCAGCTACTTAAAGTGGTCAAACTGTTCATACATGTAATAATTAATGAAAATTATTTTGGTTTAAACACATACAGTTACTTGGTATATATCATGTTGTTTGTGTAGTTTATGACAATAAGTTGATAAATTAATGTATTGCTTATAGTGCTTGACTTTCACTTATATTACATTTATATGCAAAATACATCATACATTAGCTTTGAACAACATAAAATTTCGGATAATGTCTATTTTTATTCAAACCTTTTTCAGATTTTTTTATATTATCCAAACTTATTAAAATTCTATTAGTTAACCAATTTTTTCATAATGATCAATCAAAATATTAGCCATTTTTATGTTATCGTTAATAATTTTGTAACTCTTTTCTTAGTTAAAATACTAAAATCTTGGAATGTTGACCTTCATGTATCTCTTTCAAGTTAGTATCTTATTGGCAAGTCAATATTACTAACAAAATTGCTAATTAGAAATGAACATTTGGTTAATTTTTAGTATTTCAATAGGTTTGGATAATATAAAAGAATCTGAAAAAGATTTGATAAAAAATAGACATTACCCTGAAATTTACTAGTAATGAAATAGTAACAACTCTGCATTTTTTAAGCGTTGACTTGTGGGTCAACTCGCACATCCAACCGCACCATCTGCCATCTACCGGATCCAACCCTAGGGGCCAGACTAAGTATGGGTGGGTGACGAGTGGAAAATTTTCAATCCGTTGAAAAATGAGTGAATTAATTTCATGGTCAAAATCCACCCGATCCGTCAGTTGCCCACCCCTAGGTCCACCGAGTCGATTCCTTTCCCGTCCAATGCCTAGAATATGGTCCATATCGAAACGGTAGCAGTGCTCAGGGTCCAATGTGAGCCGACAAATTTCTTGCTTTAGGCCCAGTATTAGTAAACTGACCTGTATTCTCGTGTTTGATCCCCGCAGGCCCACATGTAGTCATGTACCGACGTACGCAAAAAAGTTCTCCTCCCCGTCGTCGCCATCGTCAGAGTTCAGACTCAGGACGGTTAAGAACTTCTACAGCCGTGTAAAAAGTAGCCAATTGGGTTCTCCCGAACGCGAAGGAAAGCCAAATCAGAGACACCAAAACCGACATTGACCACCGCCGTCTCCGTGTTGGGATGATATGCCGCTTCGGCCGTGGATCATCGTCCTTGCGTCAGTAACAATCCCAGGCGAGTAGGTGTTCTGCAATTCCAATTCCGTTGATGTCGTCGTCGTCGGAATCCATCTTTCTCGAGGACTTCGGTCAGAAAGTAGACCTAACCCGGAGAATCCGCGAAGTACTCGTCAACTATCCCGAGGGCACAACCGTTCTCAAAGAGCTGATTCAGAATGCGGACGATGCCGGAGCAACCAAGGTCCGTCTCTGTCTCGATCGTCGAATCCACGCCACTGAATCTCTCTTGTCTCCTTCCTTGTCGCAGTGGCAGGGCCAGGCGCTCTTGGCTTACAATGACGCCGTGTTCACGGAGGAGGATTTCGTCAGTATTTCGAGGATTGGTGGGAGTGCGAAGCACGGTCAGGCTTGGAAGACTGGCCGGTTCGGAGTAGGGTTCAATTCCGTGTACCACTTGACGGATTTGCCGTCTTTTGTCAGTGGCAATTACGTGGTTCTGTTTGATCCACAGGGGGTTTACCTCCCCAATGTATCGACGGCGAACCCTGGCAAGAGAATCGATTTCGTCGCTTCAGCTGCTATCTCCGTCTACAATGACCAATTCTCTCCTTACTGTGCCTTTGGGTGCGACATGAAAACTCCCTTTAATGGAACTATGTTCCGCTTCCCCTTGAGGAACTCAGATCATGCGGCGACGAGCAAGCTCTCGAGACAGGCCTACTTGAATGAAGATGTGCTTTCTCTGTTTCGGTCAGCTTTATGAAGAAGGTGTGTTCTCGCTTCTCTTCCTCAAGAGCGTGCTTTCAGTGGAGATGTATGTGTGGGATGTTGGAGAGCCTCACCCAAGGAAGCTATATTCTTGCTCGGTTAGCTCAGTGAACGATGAAGTTATCCGGCACAGGAAAGCTCTTCTGAGAATGACGAAGAATTTACGGCTATCCCCTACTCCTGGTTATGGGGACAGTGAGATGGATTCTTATTCAGTGGAGTTCTCGAGTGAGGAAGTCTGTGGAAGTGAAGTGAAGAAGAGAATTGATGTTTTTCACGTAGTGCAAGCTATGGCATCTTCGAATAGCAGAATTGCTTCTTTCGCTTCCACTGCTTCTAAGGAGTATGATATTCACTTGCTACCATGGGCATCTGTTGCAGCTTGCATATCAGATGTAAGTGGCCCTTGCCTTGAGTTTATTTCTTCTTAATTTGCTACGGTTCTGACACTCAGTTATATACTTCTGCTCTAAGCTTGGATGTGTTTCGCCCTAGAACTATATCTGGGTTACATGTTTCAGGGGCTGGCTTGTCAAGGGTCTTCTCATAAATAGCACCTCATGTTGTTTTCATGTGATTGTATACAGAATGATGATCTGAAGCTTGGTCGGGCATTTTGTTTTCTTCCACTACCTGTTAGAACTGGATTGAGTGTGCAAGTTAATGCATACTTCGAGGTTTCTTCTAATCGCCGCGGCATTTGGTATGGGGATGATATGGATAGAAGTGGAAAAGTTCGTTCTGTCTGGAATAAGCTTCTTTTAGAAGATATTGTCGCTCCTACTTTCAGATGCTTGATGCTTGGTGTACAAGAGATGCTCGGACCAACATCTTTGTATTATTCTTTGTTTCCCGTTGGTCGTTTTGAAGAGCCATGGAGCATATTGGTCGAGAACATATACAGAAAGATCAGTGATGCTCCCATGTTGAATTCAGACCTAGATGGTGGAAAGTGGGTGACTCCACTTGAAGCCTTTCTTCATGACGGAGAGTTCATTAAAAGTAAAGAACTTGGTGAGGCCTTGCTGCAGCTAGGAATGCCTATTGTTCATTTACCCAATAACTTGTTTAATATGTTTTTGAAATATGCTTCTGGTTTTCAGCAGAAAGTGGTTACTCCAGATACTGTACGCCATTTCATTAAGGGTTGCAAATCTCTCCAGAAATTGAGCAAATTTTACAGGCTTGTGTTGTTGGAATATTGCCTCGAAGATTTGATTGATTGTGATGTTGCAATCCATGCAAGCAACATGCCTTTGCTCCCGCTAGCGAATGGCGATTTCGGGGTACTTCGTGATGGCTCAAAAGGGTTCCCTTATTTTATTTGTGATGATGAGTTGGAACATATGCTGCTTCAGAAAGTATCTGATAGATTAATTGATCCAGATATTCCACCAAACATTGCAACCAGACTTTCTTCTGTTGCACAATCTTCAAACATAAATCTTACTATTTTCAAGATTGAAAACTTGCTGGAGTTATTCCCTAGATTTATACCTAACGACTGGAAATACAAAGACAAGGTTGCATGGGACCCTGAGACTATTCATACTCATCCTACTGCATCGTGGTTTAAGCTGTTTTGGCAATATCTTCGAAGTCGCTGTGAAAAGCTATCAGTGTTTGGTGACTGGCCTATTTTGCCTTCCACCTCTGGCCATTTATACAGACCTTCTAGACAGTCAAGAATGTTAGCTGCAGATAACCTTCCTGGTCTAGTCCAGGGCTCCCTTATTAAGTTTGGTTGCAAGATACTTGATCCCAGCTATGGGGTGGGACATTCAGAATTGTCTCTCTATGTGTCTGATGCTGATTGTGTGGGTGTCGTGGAGTCGATTTTTGATGCTGTCTCTTCAAATGGTGGCGTAATGGGAAGACCATTTCAGACTTTGCTAGTGGAGGAGAGAGATGAACTTCGGAGGTTTCTTCTTGATCCAAAATGGTACATGGGAGATCGCATAAATGAATCCGTCATTAGTACTTGCAAGAAGCTTCCCGTTTATAGAGTTTATGGGGGAACCTCTGTTGAAGATGCCATCTTCTCTGATCTAGGACATCCTCAAAAGTACTTGCCTCCCATGGATGTCCCTAGGAATTTCCTGGGCGTTGAGGTCATTATGTGCTCCTTTGCTACTGAAGAGCAGATTTTGCAAAATATTTTTGGAATTGAGAGAATGAAGAAGACACAGTTCTACAGGCAATATGTATTTAGTACTGTGAAGGACTTGCATCCTGGAGTGCGGGATCCTGTGATGCTCTCTGTCCTCCAAAACTTGCCACAGCTGTGTGTGGAGGATTCTTCTTTCAGAGAATGTCTCAGAAATTTGGAATTCGTCCCTACCCTAAGTGGGGGTATTAGGTGCCCTGTGGCTCTCTATGATCCTCGCAATGAAGAGTTGGCTGCTTTGTTGGAAGATTCTGATAGTTTTCCTTGTGGTACTTTTCTTGAACCTAATATTCTGGACATGCTACATGGCCTGGGACTCAAAACATCTGTTTCTCCTGAGACAGTTATAGAGAGTGCCCGACAAATAGAAAAGCTGATGCATGAAGATCAGCAGAAAGCTCATTCCAGAGGGAAACTGCTTCTCTCCTACCTCGAAGTGAATGCTATGAAGTGGCTGCCCAATCAATCAAGCAATGATCAGGGGACTGTGAACAGAATATTCTCACGAGCTGCAATTGCTTTCAGGCCGCGGCATTTGAAATCTGACCTTGAAAAATTCTGGAATGATCTTCGCTTGATTTGTTGGTGCCCGGTAATGGTTTCTGCTCCTTTCCCAACTTTACCTTGGCCTCTGGTTTCATCCATGGTTGCTCCTCCTAGGCTGGTAAGGCCACAGGCCGATTTATGGCTTGTTTCTGCTAGCATGAGGATACTGGATGCAGAATGCTCTTCCACAGCATTAGCATATAACCTTGGTTGGCTCTCTCCTCCGGGAGGAAGTGCAATTGCTGCCCAATTGCTCGAGCTTGGTAAAAATAATGAAATCGTCAATGATCAGGTTCTTCGCCAGGAGTTGGCCTTGGCAATGCCGAGGATCTATGCTATGATGATTAGCTTAGTTGGTTCAGAGGAGATGGACATTGTAAAGGCTGTTCTTGAAGGTTCTCGTTGGATTTGGGTGGGAGATGGATTTGCTACTTGTGATGAGGTTGTTCTTGATGGTCCTCTACATTTGGCTCCTTATGTACGTGTGATCCCAGTAGATTTAGCTGTTTTCAAAGATTTCTTTTTGGAGCTTGGCGTACGAGAATACTTCAAACCCATTGACTATGCTAATATTTTGACCAGAATGGCAATAAGAAAAGGCTCCTCCCCTCTTGATTCCCAGGAAATCAGAGCAGCTATACTGATTGTCCAACATCTCGCTGAGGTTCAGTTTCATGAGCAAAATCTCAAATTATATTTGCCTGATGTTTCTGGAAGACTTTTCCCTGCGTCGGATTTAGTCTATAATGATGCTCCCTGGTTGCTTGGCTCAGATGAATCTGACAGCTCATTTGGTGGCGCATCAATCATGTCATTGAGTGCAAAGAGGACAGTTCAGAAGTTTGTCCATGGTAATATCTCCAATGAAGTTGCTGAGAAGCTTGGAGTCTGCTCACTCCGTAGGATATTGCTGGCTGAGAGTGCTGATTCAATGAATCTGAGTTTATCTGGGGCTGCGGAAGCCTTTGGACAGCATGAGGCATTGACTACAAGACTTAAGCATATACTTGAGATGTATGCTGATGGACCTGGTATTCTTTTTGAGCTGGTTCAAAATGCAGAAGATGCCGGCGCTTCAGAAGTGATATTTCTTTTGGATAAGACCCAGTATGGAACGTCTTCAGTACTGTCTCCAGAAATGGCTGATTGGCAAGGTCCTGCACTGTATTGCTTCAATGACTCGGTTTTCAGTCCACAGGATCTCTACGCCATCTCCAGGATCGGCCAAGAAAGTAAATTAGAGAAGCCTTTCGCAATTGGAAGATTTGGACTTGGATTTAATTGTGTATATCATTTCACAGACATTCCAGCATTTGTTTCTGGGGAGAACATTGTTATGTTTGATCCACATGCTAACAATTTGCCTGGGATCTCTCCTTCCCACCCTGGATTGCGGATCAAATTCGTGGGAAGAAACATCTTGGAGCAGTTTCCTGATCAGTTTTCTCCATTCTTGCACTTCGGTTGTGACTTGCAGCATCCATTTCCTGGGACGCTATTTCGGTTCCCTCTTAGAAGCTCTAATGTGGCATTGCGCAGTCAAATAAAGAAAGAAGCTTATGTGATTGAAGATGTCATGTCTCTCTTTGCATCTTTCTCTGGTGTTGTTTCTGATGCCCTGCTTTTTCTACGCCATGTGAAGAAGATCTCTGTTTTTGTGAAGGACGGAAATGGTAGTGAGATGCAACTTCTCCACCACGTGCGCAGGAATTCTGTTAGTGAGCCTGAAATGGTCAATGCAGTTGATGATATTTTCAGTCTTATTGATCGTAATCGTTTTAGTGGATTGGATAAAGATCAGACCGTCAAAATGTTGAGCAAATCCATAGACAAAGACTTCCTGCATAAGTGTCAGAAGATTGTCGTTGCTGAGCAAAACCCTTCTGGAAGCCTGCTTCACTGTTGGATAATGGGTGAATGTTTGGGCGCTGGAAGAGGAAGGAAATTTTCTGGAGGTGAATCTCATAAATCAATTCCATGGGCTTGTGTTGCTGCCTACATACATTCTGTGAATGTGGATGGGGAATATGATGCTTCTGACATGAGCTGCCATTTCACACCGGACCTATTTAAAGTTTCTAATGCTTCAGTGCAAAGTAGGGAGAACTTCGAGGGCCGTGCTTTCTGCTTCCTACCATTGCCAATCAGTACTGGTCTTCCAGCACACATTAACTCATACTTTGAACTGTCCTCCAACCGCAGAGATATTTGGTTTGGTAATGATATGGCAGGGGGTGGGAAGAAAAGGTCCGACTGGAATATTTACGTCCTTGATAATGTTGCTGCCCCTGCATATGGCCACTTGCTTGAGAAAATTGCTATTGAGATTGGTCCATGCGATTTATTCTTTTCATATTGGCCAACAGCAGCAGTGTTAGAACCTTGGGCATCAATGGCGCGGAAGCTTTATCTATTTTTATCTGAATCTGGTCTTCGTGTATTATATACAAAGGCACGAGGAGGTCAGTGGATTTCTTCCAAACAAGCACTCTTCCCTGATTTTTCTTTTCATAGAATTCGTGATCTTGTGGAGGCATTATCAGATGCTGGTCTACCCCTGGTGACTGCCTCTAAGCTACTTGTTGAGCAATTTATGGAAGCATGTTCCTCATTGAACCTTCTAACACCACAATTGTTAAGAACCTTGTTGATTCGGCGGAAACGTGGATTCAAGAACAGGAATGCAGTTGTTGTAACCCTTGAATATTGTTTAGTTGATTTGAATCCCACTCAACCCGAAAATTTGTATGGTTTAGCATTGTTACCTCTGGCCGATGGTTCACATGCTAGCTTTGAGAAAAATGGGACTGGTGAAAGGGTTTATGTCACATGGGGCAATGAGTGTGGTCTTTTGAAGGATTCACTTACTCATGTACTTGTGGATGTGGAACTTCCAGAAAGTGTTAAACAAAAACTGTGTAGCATTGCTGAGAGTGAGAAATCCAATGTTTCTCTTCTCTCCTGTCATTTGCTTGAAAAACTCTTTCTGAAATTGCTTCCAGCTGAGTGGCAGCTTTCAAAAAGAGTAACTTGGGCTCCTGGTCAGCAGGGTCAACCAACTCTAGAGTGGATGCGATTGCTATGGAACTACCTAAAGTCATCATGTGATGACCTCTCAATCTTTTCTAAATGGCCTATACTTCCTGTTCAAGACAACAGTCTTCTGCGGCTGGTTCCAAATTCGAATGTGATCGAGGACAATGGCTGGAGTGAAAACATGCGCTCTTTATTGGTGAAAGTAGGATGTTTATTCTTGAGGAATGACTTACCTTTAGAACACCCGCAGCTTGGGAACTTTGTGCAGCCTCCAACAGCATCGGGGATATTAAAAGCATTTCTGGCCGCTGCTGGGAAGGCAGAGGATGTTGAGGGGATTTTCGCAGATGCATCCGCTGGCGAGCTGCATGAACTGCGGAGTTTTGTTCTTCAATCAAAATGGTTCATGGAAGAACAGATGGATGACTCGCTTATTGAGCTCATCAAACAACTTCCTATGTTTGAGTCCTACAAAAGCAGAAAACTAGTTAGTCTGACTAAGCCTACAAAATGGCTTAAGCCAAAAGGTGTCCGGGAGGATCTCTTGGATGATGATTTTGTGCGTGCTGAGTCGGAGAGAGAAGGAATTATTTTGAGGAGATATTTGGAGATTAGGGAACCATCAAGAGTAGAATTCTATAAAGGTTATGTACTGAACAGAATGCCTGAGTTTCTTTCACAACAGGGAGCTGTTTTAACAATTCTACAGGATGTGAAGCTGTTAATTACAGATGATGTCTCCATTAGATCTGCCCTTTCCGAGACACCTTTTGTTTTGGCTGGCAATGGATCTTGGCAACAGCCTTCAAGGTATATTTTGTACATGATAACTTCTGTATTCTTTCTTTATTGTCGGTCCTGGTTTCATTTCTGTGAATGGAAGTAGTAATTTGGTTTTCTTCTGGACTGACTGTAAGAATGAGGTCTTCTTCATTCTGCTTGAGCGACTTATGAATTAGACCTGTGTTTGAAATTGCATACTGTACAAGGCATTTCAAACTGCAAGTGTTGTCTTTCTTAAATTCTTAGGAGTCTGAAATTCAGTATCTCATGGGATTTATTTTTGGAAAAGGCTGATTCTGCTGTGCTGCCTAATATTATGTGGAGGCTGTGACTGGCTTTATGTTTTTCATTCAACATCTCCATTTCACATTTTCTTCCTAATGTATGGCATTGATATGTGGCAAAGCTTTTCTTTTTCCTTCTGTTGGGGTGAATTTCAGTTATTGGATGCTTTCAAAAGTAAATTAAGGTGTTATTTGTTTTTGCTTTCCTGTTTTCAAATCTATCCACGATGGCATATTGGCCACTATCTTGCTTTTCATGAAAGTAGTAAAAGTGGCCTATGGTGAGCAAACTATGGCATGTAGTAGTAACTATGGTGACCAAACTATGGCATGTACTAGTAAAAGTGGCCTCATGAGACTTATTTAAGTGTCACTCTATATTGATGTTTTGCGTTAATGTTTTTTGGCAGGCTATATGATCCTCGTGTTACTGAGTTGAGCAATGTGCTCCACTTACAGGCCTTCTTTCCTGCAGCTGAATTTTCTGATCAGGAAACTTTGGATGTTCTGGTCAATCTTGGACTTAGGAGAAGCTTGGGCTTCTCTGGTATTCTTGATTGTGCTAAAACAGTGTCATTGTTGCATGACTCTAGTGACTCTAAAGCAGTGGATTATGGGCAGAAGGTGCTTTCCTATTTAAATGCACTTGCACATAAGCTGTCAGCCAAGGATGGTGATGGCGTCCCTAATGAGCTTCATGATGATATAGGTGCTCAGAATATTCCAGCTGAAGATGCAGATGCTGCGGATATTGATTCTTCTGGGATTGACAGTAGATATCCTATCAATGATCCAAATATTGAATGGTTTTTGGAAAATTTCAGTTGTGATAAAGTGGAGGAGGAATTTTGGTCCGAAATGAAGACCATTGCTTGGTGCCCTGTTTGTAAAAATCCACCTATAGAAGGATTGCCATGGTTATCATCTAACAGTCAAGTTGCATCACCAGTTATTGTCAGACCTAAATCTCAGTTGTGGACCATGTCTAGTAAAATGTACGTCCTGGATGGTGAATGCAAGAGTATGTACCTGCAGCAAAAGCTTGGCTGGACGGAGCTCCTGAGTCTGGATGTTTTGTCTGCACAATTGATAGAGTTGTCTAAATCATATGAACAGCTCAAGCTACATACATCCAAGAGACCAGATTTGGATGCTGCATTTCAAGTGGGCATTCCTACACTTTATTCTTGTCTCCAAGAATATATTGGCAGTGATGAGTTTGTAGATTTGAAGACAGTTCTTCGTGGTGTTTCTTCGGTTTGGATTGGTGATGATTTTGTATCACCAACAGCACTTGCATTTGATTCACCTGTGAAGTTTACCCCTTATTTGTATGTTGTACCATCTGAGTTAACAGAGTTCAGGGAACTACTCCTTGAATTAGGAGTGAGACTGAGTTTTGATATTTGGGATTACTTTCATGTGCTGCAGCGATTGCAAAAAGATGTGAAAGGGCCTCTTTCAACTGATCAGTTAGGTTTTGTCCATTGCATCCTGGAGGCCGTGGCAGACTTTTCTTCTGAAAAGCCATTAGTCGAGGCCTCTAGTACGGCTTTGCTAATTCCAGATTCTTCTGCGTTTCTTGTGTGTGCTGGGGACCTTGTATATAACGATGCACCATGGATAGAGAACAGTGTTCTACTCGGAAAACATTTTGTGCATCCAAGTATCAGCAATGATTTGGCAAGCATGCTAGGAGTTAAGTCTCTCCGCTGCCTGTCCTTGGTTGATGAAGACATGACTAGAGATCTACCTTGCATGGACTTTGGTAAAGTGAGTGAACTTCTTGCATTGTATGGGAACAATGACTTTTTATTGTTCGACCTTCTTGAACTGGCAGACTGCTGCAAAGCCAAAACACTGCACCTTATCTTTGACAAAAGGGAACATCCTTGCCAGTCATTATTGCAGCACAATTTGGGTAAGTAGTAAGACTTAGGCTGAAAGTGTTAGATCTCAATTTTATTGTGGTTTCGTTAAGCCTGATTTCTTTGTTGCATCTATTTTCTGTTTGTTTAGTCATTACTTGTATTCAGGGACTAGCATATGTGCTTTCTTTTATGAAATACCTTATGTACATGAGCAAAGTGATCTTAAGTTCACAATCTTTAATGCTAGTTACATCGACAATGTGAGCTCTGGTAAACCTATTAACGTATTTTTAAGTAGGTGATTTGATAGGACTATTTTTTTACCGACTTCTAGTAATGATTGTGCAAAGTAACTCGGTTTTTAAAATATGATAATATTTGGTGGATATTATCTGAATTATTGATTGCTTGGTTTGAATCTGAGTCGTGCAGGTGACTTTCAAGGGCCAGCTCTCGTTGCTGTCCTGGAAGGTGTCAGCTTGAATAGAGAGGAGATAAGTAGCCTTCAACTTCTTCCCCCCTGGAGACTTCGGGGTGATACTATGAACTATGGCCTGGGAATTCTTGGCTGTTATTTCATATGTGATGTGCTATCCATTGTTTCTGGTGGCCACTTCTATATGTTTGATCCACGTGGTTTAGCAATTGGTACACCTTCAAGTTATGCTCCTGCTGCAAAAATGTTCTCCTTAACAGGTAATTTATGATGCACCATAGTCAATTGGCTTCCTCCTGCTCGTTCTTTCTGTTGCTCCTACAAATGCAGAATCCAATTCATTTTGCTTGAATTGTGATTTTCCTTCTCCCATTCATTTATGAGATTATGTAGAAGGAAGTTCAAGACTACTAATGGAAGTTCTGAAAGTTGTACTGTAAATTGTAGAGGTGATCTCTTGAGCATACTTTGTTGCAATAGGGCATAAGTGAAGAAGCTTGCTTACGTTTGAAAAGATACTGAGGTATCATCTGTGCACAGTATCCTCATCCATCACAGCATGCTTTAGTTCCAGGACAGAAAGTGGATGGGCCTTAGAAGAAATCTCTTTAAATGATGCTAGGAACAGATGCTAGATGTAGGTGAATTCATTGGCAGGAAGTTTGGTGCAGAATAGTATCTTAGTTGCTTGCCTTTTTGGTTTCTATCCCTGAGAGGAAACTTCTCTACATGCCATCTCCCTCCTTTATACTTATGGAGCATCAAATGAAGTAAGGACAAAAAGAGTTCCTTGCACATTTAGAGCTGTTCATAAGCTCTTCCGCTGTTCCAAGACTCTACATGTTGTAGCTTGTTTAGTATAGGAAAACTTAAACATTTAGTTGTCGTCTACTTCTTTACAAATAGGTCACTTATGTGCTAGAGTGAATTTCTTTTTGGCTCATTTTCCCTGTGCTTTCGTTTTATTTCTAATTAGTGGTTCCTTCTGGCATTTGAACTATTAGATTTCTGTATCAGGTACTAATTTGACTGAGCGTTTCAAGGATCAGTTTAAGCCTATGATGATTGATCAAGACTTGCCATGGTCTTCCTCTGATTCTACTATCATTAGAATGCCATTGTCATCCGAATGTCTTAAGGATGGTCTTGATTTGGGGTTGAAAAGAGTGAAGAGTATATTTGATAGAGCTGAGGAGCAGGCGTCAAGGTTACTTATTTTCTTGAAATCGATTCTAAAGGTAGAAACTGTTGCCAATAGCCATTGGCATTCGTATGATCAAGCTTTGAGCATTACTTTAATAAATTAATAATTTATCTTGAAGTAGAGAGTAAGAAGACTCAACTATTTGCATTAACATTTTTTTATCTTGAATCTAGCAAGTGAGATGATGGCAAAAAGGACGTAATATGGGGATGTGGACTATGCCAATTCTGTTCGGTGTCATATGAATCTTGTTCTCCTCAGTAGCAACTAATTTATCCTGTTTCTAAAAAATATATGATCAAGTCATTTCTAACCAATAAAATTTCAGGTGTCACTCTCAACATGGGACGAGGGAAATAGACAGCCTCGTCAAGATTTTTCAGTTTCTATTGATTCTTCTTCAGCCTCATTGAGGAACCCATTCTCTGAGAAGAAGTGGAGGCAGTCTCAAATAGCAAGATTCTTCAGTAGTTCAAATGCTGCAACTAAACTGCATGTCATAGATGTGAAATTGTACAAAGGCACTACGAAATCAGTGGACCGATGGCTCATTGTACTTAGCCTTGGCTCTGGCCAGACCAGAAATATGGCTCTTGATAGGTAAAGTTGGAACTGAAATTTAAGGCTCTATGTTGCTTTTCATGATCGAAACTTGAACTGCTACATGAATTTGATACTGTGTTGCGGATGGATAGTTTGGTTTTCTTTCAATGGTCCAGTCGAGTTCAGATGTTACAAACATCCATAGTTCTTAAGCAGGAACCAGTAGAAGACCCAACATGTCATCCCCATACTTTGAAATGAAGCTTTTCGCTTATACCTGAGCCTTGGTTCATGGATCTTCTTTTGCTAGCTGCTCACTGTTTGCCTGTACTTGCGCACGCAGTATGTTGGCCAGAAGTTTCTTATTTCCCCAGTCACCTTAGAAGTGGTTAAGTATGGACCAGAGGTTGATCTTGTTGGTGAAATTGCTTTTTCACATGTTATATGCAAGTCTTTGGTGATCCTTTGATAATGTGCTTGCTTAATAGCAAAGTTGTGTACATAGAGAAGTTTTTTGTTCAAGTAATCGCTAAGTTTAGACAGGGAATAGCATTGAAGCACTGGCAGTTAATATTTTGCTCCCTCTTTTTTCTATTTAATTCCTTGTTCAATAACACCTCTGTGTTAACTTGAAGGCGGTATCTTGCGTATAGCTTAACCCCAGTTGCTGGAGTTGCTGCTCTCATTTCAACAAATGAACACCCTGCTGCTGTCAACCTTAAGGGCTCTCTCATGTCTCCTCTTCCTTTGTCTGGAGTCCTACCTTTACCTGTCACTGTACTTGGATGTTTTCTTGTGCGGCATAATAAAGGTCGTACTCTCTTTAAGCTCCAGAATAGACGAGCAGTGACACAAGCACAGACAGAAGCTGGAGATCAGTTGCTTGAATCTTGGAACAGAGAATTGATGTCTTGTGTTCGTGATTCATACGTTCATATAGTGGTGGAAATGCAGAAGTTAAGAAGAGAGCCATCAAGTTCTGCTCCTGAATCAATTGCACTTCGGGATGCTGCACGGTCTTTGAAGGCATATGGCGACAAAATATATTCATTTTGGCCAAAATCTAATGGGAACACAATAATGAGTCAGCCTGGAGATGCCGATAACTCCATATCAGCCGATGTGCTTAATTCTGATTGGGAATGCTTGATCGAACGAGTCGTTAGGCCGTTTTATGTCCAAGTTTCTGATCTTCCAGTATGGCAGCTTTACTCTGGAAGTCTGGTCAAGACTGAAGAGGGTATGTTTCTTTCACTGCCTGGAAATGGAGTAGGCGATAATGTGCTTCCAGCAACCGTTTGTAGCTTCGTGAAGGAGCATTATCCAGTCTTTTCGGTGCCATGGGAATTGGTGACAGAGATCCAGGCTGTTGGGGTTGCGGTACGAGAAATCAAGCCTAAGATGGTTAGGGAGCTTCTGAAGTTTTCATCAAGATCTTTTGTTCTTAGGTCGGTTGACACCTATATTGATGTACTTGACTACTGTCTATCAGATGTTGAATTCCCTGAATTCTCAAATTCTGATGGAAATGATTTGGCTTCAGGGAGTCTTACATCAGCAACCATGCATAGGGCACCCAATAGAGTAGCTAGTTCTGCTTCAATGCCTGACATGCAGAGGTTTGATGGTTCATCTGCACAGGGTGCAGCTAGTTCTGGAGATGCTCTGGAGGTGATGGCTAGTTTGGGGAGGGTATTATTTGATATAGGCAGGGGGGTTGTGGAAGATATTGGTAGGTCTGGGGGACCCTTAGTTCCGAGGGATGTGGCATCAGATTCTAGAGCCAGATATCTTGATCCGAAGTTTCAACAAGTCGCAGGTGAATTGAGAGGCTTACCTTGTCCAACTGCAGCTGATAATTTAGCTAGACTAGGAAGTACTGAACTATGGATCGGTGACAAGGATCAGCAGGTTCTAATGCTACCTTTAGCAGCAAAGTTCGTTCATCCTAAAGTACTGGATCGATCCATCCTCTCTGATATATTTTCGAGGTGTGCCACACTAGCATTATTAAAAGTCAAGTCTTTCTCTTATCAACTACTGGCAAGACATATGAAGTTGCTTTTCCATGAGAACTGGGTGAATCATGTAATGGGTTCAAATTCAGCTCCATGGTTTTCGTGGGAAAATACATCATCTCATGGTGGCGAAGGGGGCCCATCCCATGAATGGATACGATTATTTTGGAAATGCTATGGTGGGTCGTCTGAAGAGCTTTCTCTTTTTACCGATTGGCCTCTAGTTCCTGCTTTTCTTGGTAGGCCTATCTTATGCCGTGTAAAGGAACGGAATCTTGTTTTCTTTCCTCCCCCTCTCACAGACCAAGTACCTGGAAATGGATTTACAGAAATGAATGATGACGCAGGAGATAGTGCAAATATTCCCATGAGTCATACTACTGAAGGCAATTCTATGGAACCCTACATTTCAGCTCTGAATCAAGCCAAGAGCAGGTATTCATGGTTGTTATCACTTCTTAACCAGTGGAACATACCTGTGTTTGATGCTACATTTGCGGATTCTGCTTCCTCGTGTTATGTTCTTCCGTCTGCTAGTCAATCGCTGGGTCAAGTAATTGCCTCCAAGTTTGTTGCAGCTAAACGTGCTGGCTATTTCCCTGAAATCCTAACACTTCCAGATTTGGATCGAGAAGAGCTTTTTACTCTCTTTGCTAGTGATTTTGTTTCCAATGGTTCCAAATATGGAGTTGAAGAACTGGAAATTTTGCGCTCTTTGCCCATATACAAGACAGTTGTTGGATCTTACACTCAATTACGGGGTCATGATCAGTGTATGATCTCTTCAAATTCATTTCTGAAGCTGTCTGATGAGCGCTGCCTTTCTTGTTCAACAGATTCTGTCGGAAGTTCATTGCTCCGTGCCCTTGGGGTTCCTGAATTAGTTGATCAACAGATTTTAGTGAAGTTTGGATTGCCAGGATTTGAGAGGAAACTTCAATCTGAACAGGAGGATATCTTGATTTATCTTTACACAAATTGGCAAGATCTGCAGTCAGATTCTTCCTTAGTTGAAATTTTGAAGGAGACAAAGTTTGTTAGGAATGCAGATGAATTCTCAACAGATCTTTCCATACCTAAGGATCTTTTCGATCCAAGTGATCCTTTGCTAGCATCTGTGTTCTCAGGTGAAAGGAGGAAGTTTCCTGGAGAAAGGTTTAGTACAGAGGGCTGGCTTCGCATTTTGAGGAAATCGGGTCTTCGAACTGCGGCTGAAGCTGATGTGATACTTGAATGTGCTAGAAAAGTTGAATCTCTTGGGCGTGATGAAGACAAGTCAATAGAGGACTTCGGTGATTTCGGGAAAGATTTGAATTCTTCTAGTGATGCGATTTCTGCAGAAATATGGGCGCTAGCTGGATCAGTTGTTGAGGCTATATTATCCAACTTTGCAGTTCTTTACAGCAACAGCTTCTGTAATAATCTGGGGAGGATTGCCTGTGTCCCTGCAGAACTAGGGTTTCCTAACATTAGTGGAAAGAAAGTGCTCACCTCATATAGTGAAGCAATTTTGGTGAAGGATTGGCCTTTGGCTTGGAGTTCTTCTCCCATTATATCTAGACAAAATTTCATTCCACCAGAATACTCTTGGGGAGTGCTACATCTGAGAAGTCCTCCACCCTTCGCTAGGGTCCTTCAACATTTAAAGGTAACAAGATTCTTTGGTACTATCCTCCCATATTTGAACCTTGTCCAGTAACACCATACTAACAAAACATATCACAGGTAATTGGAAGAAATGGCGGTGAAGATACTCTTGCTCATTGGCCAACAGCATCTGGCATTATGACAGTTGATGAAGCATCATCCAAAGTATTGAAGTATCTGGATAGTGTCTGGGATTCTCTATCTTCTTCAGGTATCTCTACCTGAGCTTGTGTTGCAATTCCGACCTCGTTTAGTTATTTTAAGGGAATGATTTAAGTTTCATATTTGGTTCTATCTCAACAACTCAAGTATTAGGATGAGCTGGTTCTTGATATGACATTACAGGCTTCTGTTGAGAGTCCTCGTGTTACGACTTCTTGACAATTATGTCGGTCATTCTCTTTCTCTTTGTACCTACTTTATTAGCGATATTATGTCAATTTTCTTAGCGATATTATGTCAATTTTCTTATGCAGAGAAAAAAGAATTACAGGGTGTAGCATTTCTGCCTGCTGCTAATGGAACACGCCTGGTGATGGCGAGCTCTCTATTTGCGAGGTTGACAGTAAACCTGTCACCTTTTGCCTTTGAACTTCCAACTCCCTATCTTCCTTTCGTGAAGGTCCTCAAAGAATTGGGCCTTCAGGATCTGTTATCTGCTGCTGCTGCAAAGGATCTTCTTCTAAACCTCCAAAAGGCATGTGGATATCAACGCCTCAATCCAAATGAACTCCGTGCTGTAATGGAAATCCTCTCATTTCTGTGTGATACATCTGTCAAGGCAACCCCATCCGATTTGTGCAACTGGAAAGAAGATGCAATCATCCCAGATGATGGTTGCAGACTTGTTCATTCAAGGTCATGCGTATATGTCGATTCTTATGGTTCTCAGTATGTAAATAGCATTGACACCACCAGATTAAGATTTGTCCACCAAGACATCCCAGAGAGGATGTGTTTACTTTTGGGCATCAGAAAGCTATCTGAAGTTGTTGTGGAGGTAAGGCTGTATGTTTGTTTTGGCTTTTGCTTCACGCCCTGGAACTCTTTGTTCAAAATTGATTTGCTCATTTTCTCACGGTCTGCGGACATTTGCAGGAACTTGATCAGGAAGAACATCTGCAGCCACTAGAAAGTATTCGATCTGTGCCTCTCTCTGTTATCAGGAAGAAGCTGTTGAGCAGATCATTCCTCGATGCTGTGTGGACTATTGTGAATAGCATAGCGAATCCTAATACCTCAACCACTAATTTACGAGTGGAAACTGTACATAGTTCTCTGCAACTGGCTTCTGAGAAGTTGCAGTTTGTTAAGATGCTCCACACTCGTTTCCTCCTCCTTCCAAGATCTCTGGACATCACTCTTCTAGCAAAGGATTCCATTATCCCTGAGTGGAAAGACGGGCCTAAACACAGGAGTCTCTACTTTGTCAACCGGTCGAAGGGCTTGGTTTTCGTTGCTGAACCGCCTCCTTACATATCTGTTCTTGATGTTGTTGCTATTGTAGTTAGTCAGATTTTAGGGTTCCCTATGTCGTTACCTCTTGGATCTTTATTTTTATGCCCAGAAGGTGGTGAAGCTGCTATTCTCGATATCCTGAGACTTCGTTCTGAGAAAAGAGAGCTGGACCCCACAACCAACAAATTGGTGGGCAAGGAGATACTTCCTCCTGATGCTCTTCAGGTACAACTTCATCCGCTGAGACCCTTCTATAAGGATGAAATGGTAGCATGGAGGTATCAGAATGGTGAAAAGTTGAGATATGGTAGAGTTCCGGAGGATGTCAGGCCATTGGCTGGCCAAGCCCTCTATAGATTGAAGGTAGAAACTGCACCTGAGACAGTTGAGCCTCTACTGTCTTCTCAAGTGTTCTCTTTTAGAAGCATATCAACGGGGAATGAAGCTTCTTCCTCTGTAATACCTGAGAGTAGTCAAGCAGTGGCTGAGACAAGGGCGCCTAACGAGACTCCTGAAAGTTCTGGTGGAAGCAAAATACCTAAATCTTCCCAGGTTTGGTTTTCAATCCGCTAGGCATTACAAAAACTTAATTGCTTATCATGTATGGATGGAGTCAGGAGTTTAACTAATGGTGCCTTTCGTTTTTCATTAACTAACAGAGCTTGAAGGATCTTCAATATGGTAGAGTATCAGCTGGTGAACTTGTTCAGGTGGTACACGATATGCTTTCCACGGCAGGGATAAACATGGACGTGGAGAAGCAGTCTCTATTGCAGAGAACTTTGTCTTTACAAGAGCAGTTGAAAGAGTCGCAAGCAGCGCTACTGCTTGAGCAGGTACGGCCCACTTCCCTACTTCTGACATTCAATTTCTATTTTAGTCTCGGTTGCACTGTCTCGCAGAAGCAAATCGTTTTGACAATCAGCATGAGCTTTCATGATACTCTCAGTTACGTTAGGGGTTCCTATTAGGTTTGTTCTGGTTATAACCGAACAAGAATCCTGTAAAGAAGCTTCTCCTGTTAATATTAATCGCCTTTATCCAAAAAAAGGAATCCTGTAAAGGAGCCAGTACATGAAACAGTAACCAACATTAAGCTGACTGAGACTGTTAAGTCTCAGTTAAACCACCTAACGGTAAACGATTAACTCGAACTATTAACTGGAATCCGCAACACCGAACTGAGTTCCATGACAGTGTCGACCACGTTTTCGTGGGGGTTTTTTTTTTTTTTGAAATTGATGCACCTGTATAATCGAACTGTCGAACTGTTAGACAACCGGTTACTTTATGGTGGTTGGTTATCTCGCATTTTCTCGTTCGTTATGCCTGCACATGTAGTAACTTTGAACTCTTGTTTGCAGGAGAAGGCGGAAGGGGCGAGCAAGGAAGCCGAGACGGCAAAAGCGGCATGGGTCTGCCGAGTGTGTTTGACCAATGAAGTCGACATGACAATAGTGCCTTGTGGTCATGTCCTGTGTCGCCGATGCTCCTCTGCTGTTTCAAGGTGTCCGTTCTGTAGGCTTCAGGTCACCAAAACCATAAGAATTTTCCGACCATAGAATCAGTCGGCTAAATCTGTCATAGCCATTAGTCATACTCTTTTGAGCTAGCCACATTCTTGGTGTAGCTTAGCTTTCTTGGCCATGTTCTGCACCATGTATATATAGAGATACCAAGTTGGGCCGTGTTGCATGTATAAATCATTTTTTTCAGAAGCAAACTGCCTCTTCTCAGCTCCAGTTCTGGTGCGTACTGGTATGCCTAAAAACTGGAAGCCATCATCGTATCAAAATCTTGTCTATAGAGCATTGGAATTTAACATCTTTGATCACTATTTATGTCATTAAACAATTCCCTTCCCACAGTATCATCTCGAGCAGTTCATTGGTTTATCACTTTGCACCTACCTCCTCAACGCTTTTGCTTTGGTACTAACAGGCTTCTCATCCTTCTATTACTCCAAACTAAACATGTTTAATTTCCTCAACTTCTTCGTTTAATTCCAAAATACGTCTTGTCAGTTAAAATTGAATTATATCTTATGAATCAAAGTTCTCTCTTATACTTTGGTGTTATACTGTTATGAGATTTGCTTAAAATGTTATAGTTACTCCACCTATTTTTATCGTTGTATCTCAAATTTTAGTTGAAATTGTCAAAATAATTGAATGAGATTGTTTCACCTATTGAAAAGTGATAATATTTTTGAAACTTATAGCACAATCAATGTATTCTATAATGTGGAGTGAATATGTTCTCAAAGGGAGGGAGATTTCTCGCAGTGGATTTGCTGAAAAACCCAGTGTCTTGGGTGAGACGAAGCTGAAGAACCTGGAGTTCGGGTGCGGGTCTCGGATCCGAGCTTCGGGGGTCAGAGCTTCAACGACTTTCAGAGAATCATGACCGGATTTTCTGCCTTATCTTTGTCACAGGTTGGGAATAAGGAGCCTAATGATGTGGGTAGGCTTTTGTATAGGTCATGGGTTGGGACATGGGTTGGGTTATGGTTTTAATAACATGGTGGGTTGCGATGATGTACAGGTGAGGTTTAGTGTTTTTCAGATTCTATGCGGCTGGCTAGGCGATTCTGTTTGCCACTTCAATATTTAACGAACTCCATTAATGAAATTTGACGAAGACTAACAAAGAATGACCAAACGTGAACTGTTGCATTAATCTTAGTAACCACAAATGAATAAAAAAAAAATTAGTAACCAAATGTACAACTTTTTAGTAATACCAATAACCAAACTTGCAATTTACCCAAAACAAAGCATTGTTCCCTCACCTAAGCTACACAGCACTAACAGTTTTAACACACTAAACGACACTGTCCGGATCAGAGCTGAACTGTAAAGTAGCCTCGTGATTCATGAGTTGATGACCCAGACCAAACCAATAAACAAACAAAAACAACGAAATGGATATGGATCAGGGAAGCTCCACCGTGACGTGACGTGACTGTGGCGGTCCTCCTGGCAGTGCCGATTTGATGCCATCGCCGTCCACTTACTCACAGGTTGCCCATCAACCGCGAGCTTCCACCGCGGCTCCGGCCCACGGCAGATTATCAATATGACGACGACTCGAGGTGGGTCGCCGTGGGCAGATCTCCCCGACGAGATCCTCGAAGCCATCGGCAGCCGCGTCGACCGCCCCGTCAACGTCCTCACCTTCCGCTCCGTCTGCTACTCCTGGCGCTCCGCTGTCCCCATCCCCGACTTCGGCCAGCTAATTCCGCCCCTCCAAGTCCGGCTCCCTTACCCCACCGACGTCGACGGCGTCCTCGCCCCCTCCACCATGTGCTGCGCGGAGTTCCAGCCTCCGATCCCCAATGGCGATTCAACCTCCCACGCCGGTCGGCTGATCAAAATCGAGGAGTCCAACCGCGGCAAGCTGCAGCTCCTGAACCCTATCTCCAACCTCAAGCTCCGATATTCTCCGATTCAATTGAGCTTGGCCGACTTCCGCGTCGTTCAATTGAGCACCTCATTCCGCCTCAGATTGCGGACTGGATTCACAGCTTTCGAGGTAAACAAAGTCGTCCTGTTTCCCCCCTCTGCGGCGTCGTACTCGCCGCCCCAGCAGCAGAGAGTCACCGTCGTAGCCATTTTCCAGGAAGGCAGATTAGGCTACTGGCGAAACGGAGACGAGTCTTGGACTCTATTAGACGACAAAAATTTCGATTACGACGACATAGTCCCGCACCGGGGTCAATTCTACGTCGTCGACAGATTGGGGAAACTGTCTCGGATCGATTCGTCCTTGGGTTTCGTCGAGTCCCACTCGCCGCCGCAGATCCCCGACGGCGGCGGCGGGCAGAAGAATCTGGTGGAGTCCGGTGGGGATCTGTATCTGGTCGACAGGTATTTGGACGGGAGGAGGAGGAATTGGAAGGATGTGGAGGATGCGCTTAACAACAGCTTTCACGCAATCCGGTACCTTGTGGGGACGGGGAGGAGCAGGAAATGGAACCCTAGAGCGGTGGATTTCAAGGTCTACAAGCTGGATGAGGAAATCGGGAAATGGGTTGAAGTGAAGTCGTTGGGGGGTGATGGAACAGTGTTTGTGCTGACGACGGAATGTTGTTTCTCGGCTCCGGCTGCACAGATCGCCGGCGGGAGAAGGGATTGCATTTACTACTCGGATGATGATGATTATGTGGCCAGAACCATGTTGACTACTGAGAGCATTCGGGTGTTTCAGTTGGAGGATGGCAGTATTCAGGAAGTGAAATCGTTGCCTCGCGAGTCTAATATATTTCTACCTCCTGGCTTTCGTACCGAGTTCTAGACTGCAAAAGGAGCCGCCATCGTTGACTTGTTGTTGTACTTCACATCCTTGTTTGTTTCACTCTCTTGGCTGTCGCCTTTGATTGATTGCTTTGTTTGGTGCTTCGGTTGCTTGATAGTTTGCTGTATTTGGTCATTTATGTCGCGCGAGGGAAGGGAAGGGAAGGGAAGGCAAAGGCATTGGCATTTTGATTCACAATGTTTAAGACATTTCCAAATGATCAAATATTAGCCAAGTATTTTTCGCATTCTTTTTTATTAGCCGAACTTATTGAAATACTAATAGTTAGACAAATATTAACTTCTAGCTAATTTTTTTGTTAGAGGTTGTTTGGATGGAGAAATTCTAATAGATCAATATGCCACAATCGTCTTGTTTTGAGACAATTGGACCACATTGACTCGTTTGGAGGTATAAAATTTGAATGAAGCAATTTGGCCTGGAGAATTCTGAATTGACTCGTTTTGAGGCAATTACAATTGTCAGGGGGTGGAGACAAATAATTCGAATTGACTTATTTTAAATGACTCATTTTATAAAACAAGACAATTGGCTAAATTGTCTCGTTTTGCAATTGATCCATCTAAACGACCCATTAGTAATAATGACTTGTCAATATGATAGTGACTTAGAAGAAACACATGTAGGTCAACATTTCAAAATTTTAACTAAGTAAATAATTATAAAATTATTAACAATAATATTAAAAAAATGACTCAAATTATTAGCCGACTAACCAATTATTTCGATTTAGGGGTCGTTTACTTCAAGGATTTGGACGTGGGATTTGGTTCTCAAATCCAACACATGAAGGATTTGTCCAAAAGCCATTGTTTGTTGAGCCAAAATGGAGGGTACCAAATCCTTGGGGTCCACTGATTTGGGGCTCCAAATCCATGGGCCCCACGGATTTGTAAATCCCACCTCATACCCTGGGATTTGGAGACAAGTTGAAAAACCATCAAATCCATGATAAAAATTGCTCAACAAACAAAAGATTTCCTCAAATCCATAATGCCCAAAATCCCTAATAAATCCCAAGATTTTTAATTAGCAAATCCATGACAAAACCCTCGTTATAAAATCCTTGAAGCAAACGACCCCTTAATTTTTTAGTTAGCGGACTAACCGGGCACCGACTATGTCCCCTAAAAAAAGTGTGCTCCTATAGGATTTGGGCTGGAGATGGGCAAAGAAAGCCCAATTGAAACATCAATATTCCTCTATCGGGCGGAAAAGTTAAGGGGCCGGGTTTGCTCCGGGGATGAATTTGGGCTGGTAGACGTGGCATATCGACGAGACGCTTTAAATTGCCCGCGTAGCCGTTAATGATAACAACCACAGGATAAGGAGAGAGGGAAAGAGGAACGAACAGAAGAGCGGAGGAGAGCTTTCTAGCAACAATGGCGTCCGTAACTTCTCCCTTCACCACCACCAACGCCTCATTCCTTCTCCGACCACACTCCCAGACTCACCAGTCTTCTCAACGTTACTTTCCAGCGCCTAGAGCCTGCCTGAACGAATCCCAGGACCACCACCGTGTCCAGCTGAACCGGCGGCAGTTCATTTCACAATCCGCCGCCGTCGCCGCTGCCATAGCCCCTCCTCTCTCTCTCATCGATCAGAGGCCGGCAGTAGCCGCCGAAGAGGCTCTTTCGCAGTGGGAAAGAGTTTACCTCCCTATCGACCCCGGCGTCGTCCTCCTCGACATTGCATTTGTCCCCGATGACCCACAACACGGTAACCCTCTCTCTCTCGAAAATGTCAATTCGGGGCAAAATTCTAGAATTTGAATTGAATTCGAAGCTTGGTTTCATGTATAGGGTTTGTATTGGGAACGAGGCAGACTCTTCTGGAGACGAAAGACGGGGGAGCTACTTGGTTTCCGCGATCCATAGCTTCAGCCGAGGAAGAAGACTTCAATTACAGGTTTAATTCCATTAGCTTCAAAGGAAAGGAAGGTTGGATTGTCGGGAAGCCTGCGATTTTGTTGTACACGCCTGATGCCGGCGAAACCTGGAAGAGGATACCGCTGAGTGCTCAGCTCCCTGGAGACATGGTGAGTTTTGAGATGGTGTTCGATTTCGAATGAATAATTCGTGTTTCGAGTCTGACACTTTCAGTTGTAATGTCTCTCTAGGTGTACATTAAGGCAACTGGAGATCAAAGCGCGGAGATGGTCACTGACGAAGGTGCTATCTATGTTACATCAAATAGGGGATATAACTGGAAGGCTGCAGTTCAGGAGACCGTTTCAGCTACGCTGAATAGGTAGGTGAATTTCTAATATTGCTTGCCGTAAGTAAAGTGACGATAGTAAAGATTGCTTGGAGAACAGTTCAACTTAAGTAATGGTGAAAGATGTTGATGCGGCTTTTATTCTTTTGCAGAACAGTTTCTAGTGGTATTAGTGGTGCAAGTTATTATACAGGAACCTTCAATACTGTTAATCGGTCTCCAGATGGAAGGTATGTTGCTGTCTCCAGCCGCGGCAACTTCTATATGACATGGGAGCCTGGTCAGGTGACAGCTCTTTCCTCACTTATAGTTCTGTCCATCTCAAGATTAGACTCTGGAGCTTTTTCTATTCTGAATTTTGCTTTGTTTTCTTGCGAAGTAAGGGAATCGATTAAATAATCATCTGAAATAGATTTGGTTTGCGTTCTCATTAACTGGGTGCAGGCATTCTGGCAGCCACATAATAGAGCTGTAGCAAGAAGGATTCAAAACATGGGATGGAGAGCTGATGGGGGTCTTTGGCTTCTTGTTCGTGGAGGGGGGCTTTATCTCAGCAAGGGAACTGGGGTAAGTGAAAAGGAACTAACTTACTCTAAGTTATAGAAACCTGGTATGTTCGTTCTCTGCCATGACATGATCAGATTCTCATTTAGTTTTTGAGTTTTGGGACATTTGTTCTAGTTTCATGGCTGCTGTGTTCTTTTCTTTGTATACTGTTACTTATCCCTTTTTGAGTTTGTTCCTTCTATTCCCCCACTCCCCATTTCTTTCATGGCTTGGTCATTTCTGGCTCTTCTTGATGAGCAAGTTTGTTGTTTGTCATTTCTAGATAACTGAGGATTTTGAAGAAATCCCTGTGCAAAGTCGTGGTTTTGGCATTCTTGATGTTGGTTACCGCTCTCAGGTAAGTGTTTTAGGATTTTCATGTTTCATTAGTGAAAAATGCCATGCTCTAGGTTATTTTTCTTCTTGCTGAACTGCTTGGGATTTTATGTTTACAAAATGCAATCTGGATAAGAGCTGCTGAGCTTTGATGTCTCTTTGGAATTCATAAGGTTAATCGTTCATGAATGTTTTTTCCATGCAGGAGGAGGCTTGGGCAGCAGGGGGCAGTGGAGTGTTGTTGAGAACCACCAACGGAGGCAAGTCATGGATTCGAGACAAGGCAGCAGATAATATTGCTGCAAATCTCTACTCAGTGAAGTGAGTGCAACCTTACGGCTTAAATTAATCTCAATGGTTTGTTCTAGCCTTCAGCAACTCTTAATGCTTGCTTTCATGGCAGGTTCATGGAGGGAAATCAAGGGTTCGTTCTAGGAAATGATGGAGTTTTGCTACGGTATCTCGGTTAATGTGCTCCACGTATTGAGGTAGTTTGTAGCATTTTTTATACTTTCTGCTCCATAAGAGGAGTTGTGATTGTTACCCAGCAGTAGCTCAATTATAACATGTTTGTAGGTTCAAATGAGCGACGATGCAGTTTAGGGTGCTCTCAGACACTTTCAATACACTCTGTTCTGCAGAGACGGGGAAAGCTGTGTGTGTGATAAAAAAGAGGAATTTGTGTATATCTATCATGTATTATTACTGTCTTAGCAAACCAGATTCTTACCCAAAAGGGAACCAATGGAAATGGATTGAGACTGTGGAACAAAGAACATCAAGTAAGCTTGATGTTAAAATGAGTTTTGTGTATAATCAAAAGTTTACCTGGGAAGCTCGGAACCAGTCAATGCTAAAGCTGTGACTAGTTACGTCTCTTAACAATTTTGTCCCTTACTGCTGTTAGTTTCGTTACAGCATCACTTATGCCCATTCGTTCTCTTGCAATTTCATTTGAACATTCAACCGCAACTTGTATAATCGAAACCACTGCCTCTGCGAACACCTGCTTTTCATTCGTTCTCGATCTGCTGCTGTTGTCATCTTGTCTTGGATCAATGTAGTCTGCTGCATTATCACCCAGAGCCGCTGCAAAGTTGTGGAGATTCAACCCGTCTCTGAATGTTTCATCAGTTGGCCTTCTCCCTGTGAACATCTCCAGCAAGAGGATGCCATAGCTGTACACATCTCCATTGGTGGACACTTCACTCCCCATTCCGTACTCTGCAAGTTGCCCCAGATCCAGAGTCAAGCAAATGGCAGAACAGGGAAAATTTGCTGGAATAAGGCGAAAATGGTGAAGGAAAGCTTTTTACCTGGCGCGCTATAGCCAACTGTTCCTCGAACAGCAATTGAAGAAGAGTTTGTCGTATGATTTGATGGAGCGTTGAGCTCCACTTGTGGAAGGAACTTTGCTAACCCAAAGTCTCCAATGTGTCCCAGCATATTGACATCGAGCAGGATATTGCTAGGCTTGAGATCACAATGCACTACAGGTACTCCACTCTCGTTATGAAGATAATCCAGTGCAATGCCAACATCAATGGCTATGTTCAACCTTTGAAGGAGACTCAACTCTGCCCTCCTTTCTGTTGGTTGTTCATCAAGAAGCCCTGGATGAAGCCATTCCTCCAAGCTCCCATTAACCATAAACTCATACACCAGGGCCTTGAAATCATTGCCTTGAAAGTCGATTCCTGAACACACAGTCAACAACTTAACTAGATTTTTGTGCCTGATGTTCTTCAGCACTTCGCATTCTGCTACAAAGCTCTTGAACGCTCGGGAATGATGAAGGTTCAGCACTTTGACTGCAACAAATATCTTGTTGGCGTCATCTATGGCTATAAGCCCCTTGTAGACAGAGCCATAGCTACCGACTCCGAGCAAATTAGCAGGCGAAAATCCATCAGTGCCTTGGAGTAGATTATGATATGTCGGCCCCAAAAGTGTGTACCCAGTAAACGGTGAAGCTGCTTCGGGGTCTTTGATTTTCTTCCTCAAGAGACAAAAGTAGAGGAATGAAACAAGCACAGTGAGCCCCAAGAAACAACTTACAGTCGATATTATGATCTTTACTATCGTGTTGAGACCGCCTTTTTTGGACCTCTCCGTAAGGCATTTTGGTAATCCAAACTCTGGCATTCCCCCACAGAGCTCTTTATTTCCTGCAATCAAAGTCGTGGTTGAATTCCTGAACACGCCCTGCATTGACAGGGCCCCTTGGAAATGGTTGTAGGACAAGTTGAGGGTCAGCAGCGAACTGAAATCCTGCAGAAAGTCTGGGATTTTTCCTGATAAGTTGTTGCGAGAGAGGTCCAGAAGCGCTAAACCTTTGAGCGTCCTAAGAGATGAAGGGATAGAACCCTGAAACAAGTTTCCCATCAGGTTTAGGTTCTCTAGTCTCACGCATCTCCCTATACTCAACGGGATTGAACCGGAAAGCACATTATTGCTGAGATCAAGTCGACCAAGGTTGACCAAGCTTCCGACTTCCTCAGGAATCCGACCACTCAACCTGTTCCTTGAAAGATCAAGAACACGACTCAAGTCCGGGAGATTGAGAATCTCCGGCGGAATCTCCCCGCTGAGATTGTTGTCTGCCAAATACAGCACCGTCATATCCTTACATTTCCCGAAACTCGCCGGAATCTCACCTTCTAGTTGATTCCCTTGCAGCCAGACCCCGAGTAACGTGGTTGAATTTCCGATATTGGAAGGAATGCTTCCTGACAGGCTGTTGTTCTGAACCTGAAGAGTCATGAACTTGGGGAGCATCCCCAATTCAACAGGCAGATTGCCGGAAAGACTGTTGCCCAAGAAATCCAGCTGTTCCAAGTTGACTAGCTTGTCTAGCCCCGCCGGAATAGTTCCGGTGATCATCGGGTTGAAACGTAGGCTCAGCCTGACGAAAGTGGTGGAGTAGTTGCTTATGCTGTGAGGCAATTCGCCGGAGAAATTGTTCAATCCGATGTTGATCCCTTGGAGAAAGGTGCTGTTGGTCAAGGAATGGAGGAACAACAGATCATCTTCTACACCTCCACTTCCTAAGCTGTTGTTCATCAGTCCCAGGAATTGAATCCTGTTCAGCTTTGACAAAGAAGGCACTCCGCCGTGGAAATAGTTGTGGCCCAACTCGAAAGCTTGCAGGTTCGTTGCGTTGGAGATTGACCCAGGAATTCGACCGGAGAAATTGTTGTAAGCCACGTTGAGATGGACCAGATTCGGCAGAGTGAACCCGATATCCGGAGGCAGAGTTCCGGTGAGTTGATTTTCAATGATGCTTATGGTGTGAATGGAAGAGGAGTTGAAGAATTGAAGTGGGAATGAACCCGAAAACCGATTCGCCCCAAAACTAATTAAACCTAGGTCTCTCAATCGGGCCAGAGACTCGGGAATTCCGCCGACGAATTCATTCCTAGCCGCGGAGATCGTCTGGAGGGAAGACGCGTTGCCGAAGCAGGAAGGGAAATTCCCGCTCAAGTTATTGAAAGGAATCGAGAGTAACTGGAGGTTGATGAGATTGCATAGCTGTAACGGGACTTCGCCGGCCAAGCTGTTGAAGGCAACTCCCAATCTGGTGAGATTCGAGCAGGCGGAGAGGTTCGGCGGTATGGAGCCGGAGATGGAATTCTGAAATAGAACCAGCACCTCAAGGCGTTGCAGACGGCCGATTTCCGGCGGGATTTCGCCGGAGATGGAGTTGTTGTTGAGGATAAGGTGGGTTAAGAAGGTCAGGTTGCCGATGTGTGGGGAGATTGAGCCGCTGAGTTGGCTTAACTTGAGGTCGACTTGGGTTACTCTCTCTTCTTCCTCGTTGTTGCAGGTTACTCCCTGCCATTGGCAGAAATGGAGGCTTTGGTTCCATGAGCTCAGAGCTCCAAGTGGGTCTACCAGTGTGGATTTGAGTTGGAGAAGTGATAGTCTGTCGGTTTCGTTGCCGCCGGCGCCGGTCGCCGGCTGAATATGTCTCCGTGATACTACAAGAAGGATAAGCAAGAGAATCGGGAGAGTGGACGTGGCCATGTTTGTTTTCTTTACAGGTTTGTTGAGTGCAGAGGCAGAACCCAGAAGGGTTACAATAATACGGTGGTGCGAAGAACATACGTGGGAAGCTTACATTTAAAGGTTGTGATCATTGAATTGTATTGAATTGAATTGGGGGAAGGAATTCTGTGGGAAAAAGAGAAGAAGTTAGGTTTGCTAGAAAGAGAGAAACAAGTGGGCAGAGGTCTCCAATTTGCTTTGAGGTGCGTGATGGGGAGTTTTTATATATGTGTACAAACGTTTGCGAAATCGTATTGTATTGATTGTCCGATTATAAAAATATATTTTTTGAGATTTATTTGGTATTAGATTTGTAGTGTTCTGATACAATTGAATCACGATCTTGTCACGAATTCAACACAAAATACTCTACTACTAGTTTTAGAACCATTTTACAATTCTTGATATGTATACTTAGCCTTAGTATCATTGCCCTTTTCTTTTATGTTTTTAGAGGTGAAAAGAGACCGAAAAACATATTAAGTTATGTTTTCATTTATTGTTGTGGCAACATGAGCTGACAACACAAAATAAATTTAGGTGAAATCACTTTCAATTGTTAGATAAATTCATTCAAGTGAATCTTTGACCAAACACCCACTGTGTACATATTTTTTCTACCCCATTTTTTCAAAACGTATCCGCAAAACCTTATTAGCAATATTTTTTTCATATTTTTCTCTTTCAATTTTTTTAACTCGTTAGCTGACACTATTCCCCCTATTATTTTTCTTAGTTTTGTTTTAGTCTCAAATTAACATTAAACGAGACATAAAGAAGTAATGAAACACGATTATCTTTCTAATTGTCAAATTTCATAATTTTTCAGATATTAACTAAATTTATTGTCTATTTTCATATTGTTGTGGTTGTATCTCTAATGTTACAACCATATCACAACCGCAACAAAAATATTTTAAAAGCTAGTTTCCATCGGATCAGTCGGGTCAATTCATTTAAATTAATTATAGAAAAGTCAAAACGATATGTTGGGAATATTCTACTAATAAATTATTTCCGGGGTTCCCTTGAAAGTTCAAACTCCTAGAAATTTTTAAAAAAAAATCCTACAAAAATAAAAGAATTTGAAAATTCAAACGAGAGTCATTTCTCTAACACTAGTACGCAATCATAGTAAGCTCACTCCTTAACCTACCTAATAAGCCAAGTTGAGAATTTATCTGGTGTATTTTATTATTAATTTGAGCGAGTTAACAGAATAATGTTTATAGTCTGGAATTGAAGAAAATGTATTAAATAATTTTTTTTAAAGAATTATTTATATTGCACTTTGAATTTATAGATTACAAGAGAAATCAATAAAGAAGCTCATAATCAGGTCAAGGTCAGATAAACTCAAGCAAACAATTGATCAATCAGTGCTTCAGCCTTCATGTACAAAAGGGGAGCACAAAATACAGAAAGAACCAACCCCATCAAATGGATCTGAAACACTTGATCCAAAAAACAATAAACACCGAAGTCTCTTTTTGCAATAAAAATAACCCAAAGTTGCAGTAAACGCAATCAATTTGTATGATCCGACCGAGACCATGGCACTTGACTTGAATGTCATGCCATAAGACGCCTCCTGCGAATCGCTCGAAAACGCTCAACATAATGAATCTCGGATGCGGGATTACATGGCGGTGGACGGCAGATAGAATTGAGAATTGGATTGCTCCGAGCTGAAAAAGCTTTGAAGCTTAGTGACCGATTATTATGCAAATGATCCATCTAAGTTAGTCAATAAGATACTGGAGCTGGGAGCTGGGGGCTGGGGAGACAGTAAAATGAAGGCAAGGCGGGTGCCAAATGAACCATCCACTGCTCCGCATACTATTTCCTAAGAGCACTTCTACTATACTATATAGTATTGGTGCTTTAATGAACAATTTAAAGTTGTACCATAACATTAAATGTATAAGTTTAGGTTGTACCATAAAGTAATTTGTATCATTATGTTATGGTACAACTTTACAACTTGAAGTTGTACCATCACATAAAGGTACAAGTTCAAGTTGTACCATAAAAGAATTTGTACAAAAAGTATAGGTACAATTTGAAGTTGTACCATAACGTAAATGTACAATTTTAAGTTGTACCATAAAGGCAAAACCCTATAGCACCAATACTATATAGCATTGTAAAATTCCTCATTTCCTAAATCCCTATCATATTCATGTGGCAAATTGGCAGGTGGGTTCCCATTTATCTGACTTTTCAGCGTGGCTTAGGAAAATCGGCAAATCTCGATCCCTATGGTATTCGGTAAATTCATAGAATTAGGTAGATAGTCGTGTTTTTTCGATGGCCACCAAGAGAGAGAGTAATGCAGTAACGATTACTGACTGTTGTGGTAACGAACCTGTTTGAAACTATGGGACCCGACAACCATTACTATATCGAAGGATTGACGACCGGGACTTCTGAATACATTGAATTTCAAATACCACGAGCAGAGGATTCGATTCGATTCCGCAAGTGGAAGAAGTGGGTGTTGATTGGTGGGTACTTGTGCAAATTTTATGTTATTGTTGTTATAATAATGCTATTCAACAGAGACTGCGGACTCCCATTCTTGTCCAGATGAGATGAGATGAGGGTGGGTTTCCTTTTTCTCGTTCCTTTCCCCTTTTTGTTATTTGTTTTATTGATGGTCCGGTTCTGTCAGACTTCTGTGTTTTTGCAAGTCAATGAACACCGCCGGCAATGATTGAACAGGGAGGACACGGTGGTCGGTGATGGGCTAGCGGCGGTTATTTTCCTTTATTTGTTTATTTATAATTTGTTGGGTTGGGCCTAGGGTCCGTTAGCTGTTGCGGGAGAACAGACGGATATGGATCTTTAAGACGCCATTGAGCCTTCCGTACCCCCACATCATCCAGGCCCAATTCAACCCAACTTTGTTTGGTCTGTGCAAAGGGCCGATACTACAGTGCCGCGGTAAAAAATGCGGCACCGGTGCCGATCTATTTAATTGGTCCACATAAGCAACGAGAAAATGACATAGCACTGCTTAAATTTAATAACACCCAGCCCAAACGGCCAACCCCATCACCCACCCACCCACGACCCCAAACCTCTGCAACCCGTCGATTGACCAAGAATTTTTTTTATATTTTCTTTAACTAAATTGTTTGTTCTATATTTTTTTTTTCTCTCGATAAATCCACCAATTTTTACAGTAAGAGATTGAAAAGTAACGGAGACAGTTCTGTGTCTCTCTCAGCCTCCCTCTCCGTCGCTCAAAACAACTAGATGTTCCGGCGAATTTCTCCACTGGTCGCTTCTGCCCATCCTCCACCTCCGTCGAACTGATTCAGCGCAACCGGATCCACATGATCCCAAGCCAAACAAAAAGATAACTGTCCTCCGCCTGCGTCACAAACCTCGTCGGATTGGATTCCTCGCCATTCATTTCAAGGTTTGATTACTTCCTTTTCTAATGTCTCGTTGAACCTCTATTCTTAGCTCCATTTTTAAAACCCAAAAAGAAACAATGGATTTGAGAAAGGATGGGCGAGAGGGAGAGAGTGAAACTCAATCAGCCTCCGCTCAGCTCATGCAATCTCTTGCAAGCTACGCACATCTCTCTAAATTTGATGTTTGCATATTTTTTTCCTTTCCTCTAACACTGTCGAATATTCAGCGTTATGGTCCAATTCCCATGATTTTTGGGGTCCATTGATTTGTGGGTCGTTGTCAAAATTTTGTCTTCCTGTTCTTCTGTTCCCGCATGTTGAGCGAACCAAGCTAGAGAGATATGGCGTCCAGTGGACTGGTTTTATCATTACTGGATGATGGCCCTGTTCTGATTATGCTTCCTTTAATGGCATTTAGTAGGTGCAGTTTTTTGGATGTCGACAATAGAAGAAAGGAGTGTATTGGGAACAAGGACAGTGTGGCGTTTCATAGGACAAAGTATCCGTGTGTGAAGAAACTGACAGAGCATTCAATTACATAGTGAAGTCCTTGAGTCTCGAAGATGTTAAGTCTTGGTACCTGAATTTTCTGCGAATAGATATAAATTTGAAGCACATATGTTGTATTTTTCCAGATTCTATATTTGAAAAATGTGTTATCAGCCTATAAAATGAAGTGAGGTTAACTATGTAGACAATCCGATTAACGTTAAGCTGACTTTCATAGGTTGTTTTGGGTACTGCTGTTGAGCCATATGGTCACCCCAACAGGTATACATAGAAGTGGGGAATGAGACTCTGTAGGTGTGCTGCGACAAGTTCATTGCTCTTCGGGCCGTCCAACAGAGAAGGCAGAGACTGAGGAAGACGACAGCGAGGGAGGGCAACTTTCTTGTGATTTGGCGGCGGTCGAGAAGTTCAACGGAGACGGAGGGGCGGCCAGAACAGGGTCCTTTCTTGCAAGTGGTTCTGTTTGACAGAAGAAATATAGGAGTATAATAGTGAAGGAATTTAGAGGAGGCGAATGGAAAGTTGAGACTGGGTCGTCGACGGAAAAGTTCATTAGAAATTACTTTTGACCGATGGTGGAGAGCGCGAGGAAGATGACAGATTGCTTCTTCTGGTTACGATTTTGTTTTTTTATTTCTGGAGAAATACAAATTAAGTAAAATATTAAATGAATTTGAAAGGGGTTATGAGAAAGAAATTACTTTTGACCGATGGTGGAGAGCGCGAGGAAGATGACAGATTGCTTCTTCTAGTTACGATTTTGTTTTTTTATTTCTGGAGAAATACAAATTAAGTAAAATATTAAATGAATTTGAAAGGGGTTATGGGAATTGGGAAAGAAAGAACTGACGAGAAATATAAAACAGAAAAAAAAAAATTCTTGGTTTTGGGCGGGTAGCAGGAATTTGAGTTGGGCCGATTTATGGGCGGGTTTTGGCGACAACTCATAAATATAAGTAAATCCACATCATCTTCACCCGCCAACGTGGACCAATTATATGGCGCTGCACCGGTGCCGCATTTTTTACCGCGACACTGTAGTATCGGCCAAAGCAAAGATGGTGTGGAGGTTGTCATTGTCGCCCAAGCTCGGCCCGTATGAGGGGTCTCAATTATCACGGTTCAAGTAAGTAGTAAGTTACCCCCTATTCATATTTTTGGTTCGTCACTAATAATACGATGGAATTAGGAGTGTAAGTTTGACCCTAAAAACCCAA